GTGTTGCTATTAGTACATGTACACTATCAATTATCAGTTTCAATTTATATATTAGTTGTGTGTTTTCTGTATCCAAGGGCCCATAGTAATTGGTTTTAAGCTGTTGTGGTTTTAAGCTGTTGTTGTTGTCACCTTCTTGTCCAACCTTCAAACGTGGAGGCTGGGCGTATTTGCTGCGTTTCGATATGTTTTGTCTAGGTCTATGCCAAGTCATGTTGGGCTCATAAATATCAAGCTATTCTAAAATGAATATAATTGTAAAATTAAACCGTCCTAGATTAGCGGTCAAGGGTGTATGTTTTTGTTTTACTATCATGTTGAAACATAGACGGGGGCGCTGAAGTTTGCTCATTTTCGGGTTGGACAGAAATGGTTCTGTGTACGTGTTGTTTGATTGTGTAATTATAGGCGAAGCTAAATAAATAAATAAATAAATAAAAGAAATGTTTGCCATTTCGCTGTCGTCATGCAGTCGTTAATGAAAACTTTAAATTGGACCAATCAGTGTCCGCTATTCATGACAGTCCGCCATATTTTTGAGATCAGTGAGGATGACCACCCACCGAACCACTCACGGTAACCCACGTCCGCGCTCACTGATGAACTTTAGACTTGGCTAATGCTTTCGTTTCCCCGGGTGTAAATAGCCAGGGGGAATTAGTACCCTCGCATGGCGCTTCGCGAGGGATTAACTTAAACATTAAGTTAATCCCATTCCAAATACGTTTTTAAACTATTCAAATGATGAAAGTTATTGTTTTTAAGCGTTTATTAGCAAGTGAGAACAACCAATATGGCCGCCATCTATTCAAATGGGGGTAACCGCTCATTTGAATTATCTTTAACTAACATCCAGATAGATAGTAACATTCAAATTTGGTTGTTCACAGGGTTTTTCCTTAGTTTAGCAGTTAAGATACCTTAGTTTAGCAGTTAATGTGAGCCTCCTTGATCAGCCTCGGCTTTTGAGGCAAACATGTTATTAATAAAGTTTATATAAAAAAAACACAAAAAAACCCCTGCTGCATGGAATATTCTTGGCTTCAATTTTAATAAAAGTCTTAGAGATGCGCTATCTAGTGTATATAAGATATCTATGGTTGAGTGTCTTGTTTCTCGAGCTTCCTCAGTAAATTTTGTATCCTCAAAAGTATCAAGTAAATAAATTGAATCCTTGCCTTACCTTCCTCATTTCAACAGGTACTCAAAAATTTCGTACTTATTGAATGCGCGCGCAGGTACGTTTATCTCTCCATCCGTGTTTTATCCCCCCATCCGTGTTTTATTCCCTCATCCGCGTTTTATCCCTTCATCCGTGTTTTATCCCCCCATCCGTGTTTTATTTTCCCATCCGTGTTTTATCTCTTCATCCGTATTTGTGCCGTCCGTATCCCTGCCATCCGTATCCGTGTTTCATCCCTTTCTAAGAAAAGGGCGGTCTGGAGGTCGTCCCACAGAAAATATTTAACTGATTTTCGAAACTCTGGGACTGCATTTCTGGCATTATCTAAAGCAAATTCGCAAACGAATTGGATCTAAATTGACTGTATTTATACAACAATAACAACTTTATTATGCAAATATAAATTTCGCTGAGTGAGGCATCTGGTTAAGATACCAAATGTAATATATAGTCATGCTATTTATACTAGTTATATCGTCGCCTTATGGTGTGAACGACAGTTTCCGAACTAAAGTCGACAATTTCCGTGACAACCTTTACACTTTTAGCGTAACATTAATCAGAAAAAAATACTACACGAAGATGCACACAAATTAAAATAATGAAATATATGGATTAATCATAACAGGCTTTGACGCCTTTGCTTACGGCCCTGGCTCTTTGCTATACTGCCTTGGCTCTTTGCTATACGGCCACTCTAATACGCTATACGACCCCGAGTCGGTATTATTATAATTCGTAAAAGTAACTAAATATTCAGGATAGCTCTGATAATCATAGAAAATGACAAACACTTGTGGCTTTGTTACATTGTCGACAACAGAGTCGTAGCAGACGGCCCGGTTATTTTCGTCAATCGGGGGAGGCACGACTAATCCTTCTTTTCCTTCCGTGTATTCACCAACCAACACCCGAGCTATGTACATGTATTGTAAGCCTTCCTCATCGGGAACGGAAAAAGTATTTCCTGCCGAGTACCATGCGTGCTTTGCAAAATATACTCCTTTGCCGAACTTTACAGCTGTGAAGAAAAGAGTTATTTTCGTTAGATTCCAAGGGCATTGGGATATAGGGGAGGTATCGCCCTACTTCTTCGACAATCAGAATAATTTATATTACGACGATCATCTAATAAATACATCTATTGGCTCGCTCTGTATCTCTTTTGTTTTTTTAATGGACGATTTCGTTAACTAGGCTGCAAGTTTCACGGTTAAATTGTATAGGAGAATGCCCTTTCCCCCCCTGGCGCTCTTGTCTAATGGTAATGGTGCCTGCCATGTCACAGTGCTCCACCACTATGTCGTTTTCTACGCCACTGCGCTACTTTGCAAATGATCAGGTGATGTTAATTTAACGGTTGCTTTTAACGACAGGCTTCAAAGTTCAACAATCAAAACATACCCAATTGCCTGTAAGGGGTAGGCCATTGGATAGGTAAGCCATTGGATAGGTAGGCCATTGGATAGGTAGGCCATTGGATAGGTAGGCCATTGAATAGGTAGGCCATTGCATAGGTAGGCCATTGGATAGGTAGGCCATTAGATAGGTAGGTCATTAGATAGGTAGGCCATTAGGGGTAGGCCATTAGGCCCATCCCTGTAAGGGGTGGGTCATTAGATATCCTAGCCCTGGGAGAAGGGGGTAGATTAGGATTTGAAAAAAAGATCTTGCAAGCATTTAGGGAAAGAAAAAAATTCTGCAACCACATGGAATATACCGAAAGTGCGTGGAAAATTCCTGCACAGCTTCTATACCGTAAACAAAAAAATCCAAACTCAAAAAAATTCTTGCAAGGAAAATTTTCCCTCACAAGATATATAATGGTCCACCCTTAAGTAACACATCAAGACTAGATCAGGTCAGTGTTGTTTATCCTTACATGCCGATTAAGATGGAAATGCAAATATGATTAGCTTACCATTCTTTCCACAGTAAGATCTGTTAAAACCAGTCGTATTAATATTCTCCACGGATGTCTTTGTTGTTCCGTGAAACAATCTCATTTCATTTCCACCATTGCTCATCTTTTTCTTTTGCCCCTCATAGATCTGGTGCAATCGAGGATTTTGTATTCTTTCAATTTCTACAATTTCAGTGTTTGACAATGACGAAAATATTCTCCATGTCCCTTTAGACATGTCATGGATTTTGCGATATTCTTCACTCTGTTTATCAATGGTGAAACGATGTACCTCAAGCTCTTTGTCCGTCCAACAATCCATTGGTTGAAATTCCCAGTTTGGTGGAAATGGAAATGCTAGAAAATATCAAAGGTACAGATAATTATGAACATTTATACTGGTATTCATGTCAATTGGATAGGTTTGGGGATTTGTTTCAAAATTCAACAGAAAGATTTGTTCAACTTCAAGATTAAACATTCATATTCAACAAATATATTCATATTCAACTTCAACAAATCTATTCAACTTCAACAAAATTATTCATTCAACTTCAACAAAAATATTCATTGAACTTCAACAAAAATATTCGTTCATCCGAAAAAAAATTTATTCAAGCTTAAAAATATATACATTCATGCAAGGTTCGGCCTGCTCGCGGGCACGTTGAGAAATTTAAAGGTAGACGGAAATGTGAAAATTATCGACCAATTTCCATACTCATTGTAATTAAAGTATTTGAGAGAGGTTTTTCGACAGCTTTATGGCTATCTTTCCAGTAAACAAACTAATTATACTATCTAAATTCCAATCAGGGTTTAGAGTTTAGACCTAAACACTCAACCCTGTCTGCGTTAATACAAATGTGTGATAACTTACCTAAAAACATGGGTAGTATTAGAAATTAAATTGTATAGTCTTTCGTGATGTTAGAAAAGCCTTCGACCCCATAAATCATGAAATTCTGATTGACATAAAATGCGCAAGTTTTAACAGGAAATCAACTATAAAATGATTCGAATCATAACTGAATAACAGAATGCATGCAAAAACGATAATATGTGGAGTTCCACAGGAGTTCATCCTTGGTCCACTATTATTTTTAGTCCACTATTATTTTTATTCGAACCCATGCAAAAACGATAATATGTGGAGTTCCACAGGGATTCATCCTTGGTCCACCATTATTTTTATTATATATAAATGATATGCCTGATTTGCTAAGTCACTCAACTCCTTCATTCTATGCTGATGACACGGAAATTTATGCATCTTCTAACGTCTGCGCTGACCTTGTCGACAATGTAAATATTGATCTTGAAAATATACGTAAATTAATGGATGACACAAACAAACTTCAAATCCACCCCAGTAAATCGAAACATATATTCATTGGATCTTTCTATAATTTTAAGAATAAAGTATCTAGCAATCCTATTTTAATAATAATATACTCAGGATCAATAAATATTCATGCCTTGTTCGTGAATATGGACGATAGGTTGTCTTGGGATAAACATATTCTATCTGTTCTAAGATTGGTGCTGGCAATGAGACGGGTTAAATCTTTTGTGTACCACTTTCGACAGCCAAAATGCTATTTAATGCTATTGGGTTTTTTTGTTGTTTTTTTTTAATTACGTTCCCCCCAAAACATTACATGAGTAATATATAGTGGTATTTAATATTTACAAACGTGGGTAGGAGCCTACTAGACTGCAATAATCAAGATAAGGCTGTACAATTCCTGCAAAAATATATAATATCAACATTGTATATTGTAAATATGCATCCTTGCTATTCTTATATATTATTAATATATACTTTTACTTTGTATTTTCTTAAAAAAATCATTCGAACTGACATTAGCTAAGATTTTTCTGTATTGGTGTTATGTACGTTATATGAATATGATGTTTCGGATGTTACTCTGAGTGTATATCCACATCGGGCAAGCTTGAAAAATATGTCTGGCCACGGTGGGAATTGAACCTACGACCTTTGGAATGCTAGCCCAATGTTCTACCAACTGAGCTACGCGGTCAGGTCGGTTCGAGTATGTGATATTTTGGAGTATCTAGTAATCTAGTAATCATGATTATCTAAACTGGAAACCTCTCGAAGAAAGACGAAACTGCCTTAAATCTTATTTTCATAAAATTTCCATAAAATTTTGAATGGCCACATCGCCGCATCCAATCTCAAAGAAACATTTCAATCTAATCATGAAAGACATAATTAACACACACTAGGACAGACCTTATGAATAGCGATGCTGATTTACCACCACCTACATGTATGCCGAAAAGAGAATTCAGCAAGAATGAATATTTCTGTTGAAGTTGAATGAATATTTTCGTTGAAGTTGAATGAATATATTTGTTGAATATGAATGTATGAAGCTCTTGAAGTTGAACAAATATTTTCTGTTGAATTATGGTTGTCGACTTGTCGCCAACCATAATTGGAACTCTTGTTTCATACTCCTTTTGTTACTTATAAAATTGCTTGAATATACTGTTTATTGCACCCTTCCCTTGCTGACTCTCTATTTGCGCAGGAAAACGAAGCAGAAGAGACGTCTGCCTAGATCTGTCACGTTTTTTATGCAAAAATTGCCATGGCAACGAGTGCTGGTCACCACGTGATATCAAACCGCTTTTTGCGGGAGCAACTTGGTAAATCAAAGACTTACCGTACCCAATTTGAAGGCAAACAAAAAAGAAAAGATTTCTTTCGTTTGTTCTTCTGTCACTGCTTTCACAGTTTCATCTTTGAAAATATCAATTACATAACTTAGAACACTTTCAAACAACATAAAAAACCTCGAAATGACCATGCTGGGCAAGCCGTCATTTTGACACTACGGGCTCAATGTCATTAAGGCGTAATTCAGCTCTGAGCATGCGTACTATTTGTTTTCCCAAACCGGTTTCAGAACTTGTATTTCAAACTGGTTTGACTCGTCCACGATCATGGACGGCTATTGGGTCAGAAGTGAAGTAAAAGTAAATATATTACTGGGACAATTTATAGAACAGCAAGTAATTTTTGGCAGTCGTGCCACCTGAATATTAGGTAGCATTAACAGCCATTTAGGCATTGGTGTGTTGCTAATGGCCCTTTCCCCTTATAACTAAAATTTTGATCTGGACAAAAATTTCATCACAGCTTGAAAGAGCATCACAAAATTAGTAATATTCCAAAGTTTCGTTGCGAAATGTTGTAAAATGCGGATAATATAGCCTTGCGAAATTTGCCGTTTTTCAGTCATTTTGTATTACGCATGGGAAATTGACAGCCCAATTGGGTGTTGGGGCATCAATTTTCCATTTGTAATACAAAATGACTGAAAATTACAAATTTCGCAGGGCTATATTATCCGCATTTTACAACATTTCGCAACGAAACTTTGGAATATTACTAATTTTGTGATGCTGTTTCAAGCTGTGATGAAATTTTTGTCTAGATCAAAATTTTTGTTATAAGGGGAAAGGTACATTAGTGCGTATTCTTCGCCTCTGCTATTTGGGTCCAATATCTGCCATGTACAGTTGTCTAAATATAATTTCGCTTCAGTCACATGTGAAGAATAAGTACTGTTCGTTTGCGAGTTGAGAACGTTAAGCTAAGGTACTACAGGTTAAGTGTTCGAAATTCCCAAGTTTTGGCCTACCTTCACAGGGATGTCTATGCACTTTCATTATTTCGTTCTCGCTTGGATCCAGACATGTCTTTGTCATTGTTTTGAAATCTATTTCATATTTCATCTTCTCACCAACTACAACACTTCCACTAGGATCATTCTTGTATGCCCTCTCTATCTTGGCGTTTATGCTGTCTGGGTATTTCGCAGGAATAACGACATTTGCATTCGTCTCGTAATAGAACCACTGAACCTATAAAAAAATCAAATTTATACTAGAAAATAATTAATATTAGATTTTGTATTGTGCTATTATAATAGGAGCTTCATAAATAATGAGAGGTTTCCACTGCCTAGATGTTAATTAAGTAATAGTATATTGAGCGGTAGAAACGAGCAAGATACAAAGGTATATATGGTGTATGGGTAAATACCAAAGGTTTTAGGCTTCTCGCTCGGTAGGACAAAATGTTGAAATGCAGATTAGAAATAGTGAAAATCGATTGATTATTCTACTAAGGGGTTTATGAAACTTTGCCTGGTTTCCATTAACTTCCTAGTCCAAAATCAGTAAGTTTTATTTTGACAATATGTAATTCACAGTGGTGAGATAGCCATTTAGCAACAGCTCATGCTATGCAGATTTTTAATGATTTGCATTATTCGAACCTTTAGAAATGTCTTGTGTGTTTAACCTATTTAGATCCAGGTTTGTTAGCATAGCTGTGACCAGTTGCCATGGCTAGCAATGGGAGAATTATTAAAATGAATAAAATATATAAAAAACCTCGCGAACGGTTGCATCCATGTGGTGTGTCTCTGACTCCCAATCGTGGATAATTTGATGAATTTCCCCCAATGCATTCGATACTTTTTTGGCAAGACCACTGATTCTGATGAACCCAATTTCAGGTTCGTATTCTATGCGAACGTCGTGAAGGTCTTGTACTTCTAAGATTGTAGCAAGTTGTCTGTCATCAAGCTTCTGTCGGACTTCAATGGTCTCTGAATGGCATTGTTCAGCTTCGACCTGCATGAGCTCGTTCTTGATCTTTGTGATATCATTCAAACTCTTTGCTGCAATTTCCAGAGTAATTTGTTGCCTTGTTCTTCGTGTACCTGTTGTATTAATTGGTATATGATTACATTTGTTTTGTGAATGTGTTTTACCTTTGTGACCAGAGGCGTGGCTCCCGCCTTACATTTTTGGAGCTAGCTACGCCCCTGTCTGTGCCCGCAGTTTAGTTGTCTGATTATAACTTCTTCCAATATGAGTTTTGAATCTCCCAAAAGCTAGAGAGAGCAATTTTATACTGTTAGAGCTATCCAGTATAAATAAAGCTTAATATAGTTTAGTTCTACCTTTGGAATCCGCAGACGTAGTGGTGTCTTTGCGTGTAAAAGCCTTGTTGAAATCCGCGAAGACGTTTTCTTGAATGATCACTATGCGAATAAGCTTCAAGAACGTTCTTTCTTGCTTGCGGTACTCGTTGATGCAGCTGTATAAAATGTCTGCAGATTGTTCAATGGCGTCTTTCGGTAGATATCCTGTACCTACTGCGGGCAGGGGCAGGGACAGGGAGGTAAACTCGCACAAATCAGCGTGTTCTAGGCACTTCGTAACTGCATCTTGAATTATTGACTTTTCAGTTTTCCCAGTGGGCACCTTTATTACCATGTGCAACAAACAACGCGCCTTTAGGTTTCCCGCCCTAGTCGTAACAATAGTTCCTGCTTCGATCTTGTCTAACTTGCTGTACTCTTGTACCAAACTTTCACCTGCCGCCTTAAGAAGTGCTGCTCCTATTTGACCACCTTAATAATATTGAAAAGTTGATACTAAGTAAGGAATTTCTGGACAGGTAGAATGAAAAAGCAATTATTGATAGTGAAACACTATTCCATAATTTTTAAAGTTTGTTCGTTTACTGCAATCAGGTATACCAATTTCCGCTCGCTACTGTAGTTTAAATAAATTAATACAAAGGAGTAGTTGAGGAAGATTTATAATTCTGGTTTCAAAAACTGAAGAATTGAGATGTGGTAATGTCAATACTAGTAATTATTCATGACAGGAACCAACAGGAACACCTAGCAATATCGTATAATTGCTGCCCACTAATCTCGACAACTGATTTTGACGTCATGACTCGTGCCAGTTTCCTTGACCGAGTTATAACGATGCAGCTTGAATCAAAATATAGAAGAAATTTGGATTTCTGTCAGTCGGTAATTGCTCGTAAGTCGCCGTAAAGCTCTCGCTCTGTACTTCCGCCATGATGAAAAAGTATGAAAAACGATAATTTCTTCACAAATAAAAGACAATAATTTCGTTAGAATTATTAGTATACGCTGTTGACAATGTTTACTTATTAGTAATACGTTTATATTGACCGTTTAAATATCATGACAGAATGATGCAGGCATGTTCAATGTTGGCAAATGTTGTTATGATTCACGAAGAAAAACGTGAAAATGCTTGAAGACTTGATATTAAGGCTCTGCTCACAGGCACAGGGTATATAACTATTAACTCAACCACGAAGGAAAACATCGAAATGACGTATAGTGTTGTATAGTCATGTATAACGTTGTATAGTCTTGTTTAGTCTTGTCATGTCTGGTATAATAGTCGTCTATAGCGTAGTATAGTGTTGTATAGTCTTGCATAGTGTCATATTAGTCTTGTATAACGTTGTATAGTGCCGTACAGTGTCGTATAGCTTTATATATTGTTGTATATTCTTGTATAACGTTGTATAGTGTCGTATGGTGCCGTATGTAGCCTTACATAGTGTTGTATACAGCGTTGTTATATTACAGTGTTGTATGTACTATTTAAAAAAAGAGCAGGAGTGTTTTATTAGGTTTAAAGCCACGAGCGCGCAGCGCGAGTGGCTTTAGACCTAATAAAACACGACCTGCGAGTTTTTTAAATGGCTTCAAAAACGTTTGCATAATAAGTCTAATCCTTATATAAAAATCTTTATATAAAAATCTTTATATAGTTTGCATAACAATGGTCTTTTGTTAAAATGTTCTTTAGCTGGTATAAAGACGTATGCACGTGACTAATTTCGTACTCAAGATTGGATAATTGCTTCATGAATTATTAATGAGTTTTTGAAATTTCAATTAAAAATTAAGTTTGTCCACGAGCAAAGCGGAAAAGTCGAATACGAGCGCGAAAGGCTGCTAGGAATCGCTAACAATAATTTCTATGTAAAATAAAACAGACAGACAGACAGACAGACAGACAGACAGACAGACAGACAGACAGACAGACAGACAGACAGACAGACAGACAGACAGGATATATAATGGTGTTATGCGTTTCCATTATTAATAGTGTCATGCCGTCATGGTATATATAATAGTAATGTTATGTTCCATTGTTAATAGTATTAACAGTCCTTGGCTCTTGTGCATTATATTTATCCATTATTAATAGTGTTATTAACTGCGAGTCATTCCAGGTTATTACTCTAGAAGTGACCACACTTGACTTTGTGTCTAAGAATATTGCAAAATCCGCAAATTAACCTTAGTGACAATCGCATAATAGCTAAATGTGTGGACTGATAATGTCTTTACAATTATTGAGGAACACGAGAGGTTCCATCAAGACGAATCTTATACCACACTGCCATTTGCATATTAAATTCTGTTGCATGTTACCTTGTGTGATGTCTTCTGCAACACTGGCGTCAGTCGATTCTTGAACAATGTTTCCTTGAACAATCTCAACATTCACACCGTGTGTTTTATCCTCTGAACTCTTAGCCTTTTCTTTGGCGGCTGATTTTAGCAAACCAAAATTCCTGCTTTTTGTTTTGTGGATATTTGTATCGTTCTTCATCTTCATCTTTGAATAGATTTGGAATTGTTGTTTAAAGATATCCACCGTTTTTGTGTTGTCACTGTAGACAACTACATTGTACTTCTTGATTTTCAATGAAGGGCTTTTCTTTGAACTGAATTTCATGGCTTCTACGAACAAGACTTTGGCAACTAATTCTTTGGGGAAGTTCAGCGTTCCCGTGCTAAGTGCAGGAATTGCAATCGAGGTTAGGGATCGGGTTTGGACTTTGGCTAATAGATTTTGTACCAACTGACAAAGTTTCTGTGGAAAAGAAATACAAAAACCAGATTTATTATATAAACTCATAAGTGTTATTTAGAGTTTTTGGCCACTGAGAAAAATCGTATTTAAACACACGTAAAAAATACGATATTTTTACGTGTGAAATTCGCTGAATTTTGTTTATATAATAAACAGAAAAATGCATGGTTACTTGGAAATACCAGATTTATTTCTCGTGTTGAACATGATATCTCACTCGTTCGCTGCGCTCACTCGTGAGATATCATGTTCAACACTCGAAATAAATCTGGTATTTCCACGCACCCATGTATTATTCTCTATATAGCTTTCTAAATGACATATAAAATCACTGCTGCCAATATCACTAGAACCAACTTTATCATCCCCGTGATGACCATCATCTACGCAGCATCAACATCCGTTCAACATTCTACTTTAACATCTAAACTGGTCTGTGGGAGTATCGTTACCATTGTTAGTCAAAATACCATCCTCATCATTACCACTGTCAAGTGTCAACAACGATGACCACCATTATCTGCACAGCAACGTATATCATTAGCACTTTAGAAAACTACCACCATATAGGTAACAGGGGATTGAGACCTGATTGAGACAGTTACAACTACTTGCAAAATCATTGCTGAAACCAGCGCCGGCCCTACCTGACACCAGGTGGTTGTATTTCTCGCAATCTGTAGTTATCTTATTATTGTCTTTACACTGGCACAGACTGTTCAAGTATGGAACGCCATACTGGACAACATTACTTTGGATTATTTACGTAAAAGTTCTCTCGCGCGTACATCTTATCGACATTCTCGCAAGGCTCATGCATGCGTATGAAACATCATGATTCTCGTGTAAACCGGCTAATATAATCCCCATAATACCTGTAAACATTGCCCGTAAACGTATAAACTACGCTCGAAATACCTAATAAATGATAAACTTCGTCGGTAAGTAAGCCTGCTATAAATATTGCCTGTCCGTATGACTTCTAATCCATACGACTTCTATAAATACTGCCCGTATGACTTTTTTGCCCTAAATTTTGCTCGTATGACTTCTAAATGTGGTCCGTAATGGCGCAATTCCAGTCCTCCCACGAAGCTCCTCGCAGCTCGCTGCGGGTGCTATACTACGTTGGGTTTACATACGGGCGAGGTTTATCATCTATTAGGCATTTCGAGCGTTTATACGTTTACGGACATTGCTTACAGGGGTTACGGGGATATTTCTAAGTATTGTGCACAGTTAGTATAGTAGCCGTCACATTCAGTATTATCGCCACTCTCATAGTGGCTTGGATTTCTAATTGTCCATGCAATTACCTTTTCTTCGTAATCAGCTGTCCAACTCGGTAAGGAAACAAGAAACGCTTTCTTGCATTTCAATTGGGCGCCATCTGTGGCTCCAAAAATTCTTTCCTCAACTAGCCAATTATCTTTGGTCCACGTTTCGCAAAAGGCGGCAATTTTACGTTCAACTTCGTCCAAAATCGTTTTAGAACAAAAATTTTTTTTGAGCTTCAGACCATGACATCGAACAATGACATCGGCCTGCAACGATTAGACAACATGCAAAGGTCAAAAATTACTTTTAACATATTTTCACGACAAAACAGACGTCAGAACCTCTGCGATAAGTTATTTAGCTCGGTCGTTACAAACAGTGATCATAAACTTCATAACCTATTATATGCATCTAACGTAGCCACTAGAATTACTATTTAAAATACCAGCGAACTTATGAGCTCCTACATATTAAATTTAAAAAATACTTTTATTCCATCATCATGCAAATTTGCATAAGCTTTTTACTTGTTGTTTTTTTTTTTAAATTGTAAAATTTACGCAATTCAGCTATTACTGCAATGTAATACTTAATAAATAATCTATCTATTTATCTAAACAATGTTTCCTAGTTTGTCCACCTTCAGGAAATACAGCCAGGAAACAGTGTTTCGGCTGTATCGTTTCCTGGTTTGCCCACTTCGCGATATGTGGCCAGGATTCCTGCTTTTTTACTCATGGCTAAAATTCAAGGCCAGGTTTATCCACCTTCGAGAAGCATGCTTGGGAAACCATGTTTCCTCAATATTGATGGTTATGGTAATGTTTATGGTTTGACCACCTTTTGGAAACATCGCTAAGAAACAAAGTTTCTTAGTTTGTCCAGCTTTGAGAAACATAGCTAGGAGTATCTTACCGTGGATTTTGCAATATTTTCAACCGTCAGTCGGATTTCCATTCCTTCAGGGGTCTCAAATGCCATATCTCCACTAGACAGCACAGGAGCTGAAGGTGGAGTAACACTTGCTGCTCCTAGGTAGGATCTCCACCTATCACGAACCAACTCATTGATTTGGAAGTTTGGATCATGTCTAAATCTTGTCGTCATTTCTTTCATCAAGGCTTCAATAGCTGCGGGGTTGTTGTCGACAAAATGAACTTCTCTCAAAGCATTTGATGGGTTTTCTTGTAGGAATTCATATGCTGCTGTTACTAAACTTTTTGCACTGATACCATGAGGGACATTATAAATTCCCGTGCCTAAAGCTGGGACTGCAATGATCTGCCCGTCTGTTGCATTCCTCAATACATTAGTACAACAGTTCCTATAAAAGAAGCATTCCGTTCTCGTTACCAGCATGGCCCCCACCGCTATCGTTGTCATCATCACCGTCACAACATCATCGCCATTATCACTATTATCCCTAGACTGCAAGCGCTCTCTCCTTAGAAGGAAAAAGAACAGAAGGGACTGCAGACAAGGTTGATATAGTTGATTGACAGATCATTATTTCAGTCACAACCATCATCACTTCTGCCATCAGCACCATCGTCATCTACACCATCATCATCACTATTATCGCTATCTTCATCACAACCATCACCATTGTCATAACTGTTATATCATAATCAATGGACAACTTGCATGTTAGACTAAATTTTAATCTAAGCATAGAAAAGGGAATCAAACACAACAGCTAAAAAGAACATACTGAAATTAGTAAAAGTGCAAAATTTGGCTGCGAAATGTTGTAAAGCTTGGAAAATATAGCCTTGCAAAGTTTGCATATTTTCAGTATATTTGTATTACGAGCGGAAATTGTTACCATTTTCGGCTCAAAAATGGTAACAATTTCCGCACGTAATACAAATATACTGAAAATATGCAAACTTTGCAAGGCTATATTTTCCAAGCTTTACAACATTTCGGAACCAAATTTTGCAAGTTTACTAATTTTAATAAGTTCTTAACGGGAATTTACTTTTTTTTATTCCGAGATCGGTTAGATCAAAAATTTGTCTAACATGCAAGTTGTCTATTAATTACCACCTACACTATCATCATCACTTTTACGCCCATAATAATCACCATCCCAAAATAATTACTATCATCACAATCACCATTAATAATCACCATCATTACCTTAAATACCTCCCTGGGCTATATTTTAGCACAACAACATGAAGTATTACCTGAAGTACATCAAGCTCTCTGCATCTATTACACGCATAAAAATTATGAGCCCACTGTTTAACAGGATTGAACAGTGCTTTGTTTCCCACATTGTTCACACTTGTCAACAATATTGAACAATATTGTTAAAAACTGTGAACAATATTGTTAAAAACTGTGAACAATGTGGGCTGCACAACATCGTTTTTAGCTGTGTACCATAACCTAATCCAAATGATTTTTACCTACCTTGTTTCATCTCGATGATGACCATAAGCAGTTGGACTATATTTCGGCACCACTACATGAAGTACTTTCTTACACATCAAACTGCCACCGTCTGTAGTGATCACCTCTCCAGGCAATAACTTATTCCTCCCTTGGTCGTGGAGAGCACGTGAACTGTCCTCTTGAATTTTCCGCCCTCCTTGTTTAACTATAGCTCTAGCAAGTCCGCCAGAATGCTTCATTTCGTCATTTGCTGAATTCACCAGATAGTCCACAGGATGATTCAGAATATCACCTTGGTGTATTTCTATGATCTTACCACTGGGATAAGTATATCGACATTGCATTGTACGCTTTCGGTTTTCATTCAAATTATGCACAAGAATTGCAGGTAGCGTTCTGAATGAGCTACGTCTGTCAGTTTCTTCCTCCTTGGTTGTGACCATGATAGCACATTGGTGTTTTCTTTCAATACTTTGTATAATTGCATTGGCCCCCTTCTCTTTTATACCTGCTGCAGTCTCGGGCGTACCATAATTCATCCTGTCGAATTTCAAACCTATTTTTGATCAAACAAAAGTTGTTAGAGCGCACAAAACGTCCAACGTGGGCATCGCAACAATTCTTATTTTTTCAAATATTTTTTTAATCAACAATGGTACAGTGGTTAGTTAA